TAGCAGTTGTCATCCAAAATCAGGAAGAACTCTCTAACTCCATTAGAAAACAGCATTCCTTTATTCCTTACAATGCATACTGGGTGATTTGATCAATTAAGCACACCTTCCCAGAGTTCAAGTTCTACATTTAAATAGTTAACACCTACATATGCAATACATTGCACACTTATTCACTCTTTCCCCAAAACTCATTAATATATGCTAATATCCTTCTGAGTGTGCATGGTAGTGGCCTCCAGTGGTCATAGATTACTTACTTTCTTCTCATTTTTCCATCATCAGCTTCACAACAGTGACTTTCGGATGACTTTTAGCTGGTTTTCCCCCATTTGGCAAATTCCCATTGCTTGTTAGGGCATAATGAGCAACTTTCTATCTTTGAGCATTGTAACTCAGAACAATATACCAACGTAATACAATATATCGAAGGTAAAAGCCCTTGCACCTGGTGGATGCAAAGATAAAAGTAGCCTATCGTGGCTTCAGTACTCCTGTGAGGCAAGATCATCGAGAAAAAACAAGGTTGTCCACACACCAACCAATGCTAAAATGGAAAGTTTTAGAACTGGCACTCATTGATTCCATTCGCTAAACTAATATATTATTCCTTAAACTAATATACTGATCCCTATTGCTAAACCACCTTATATCACAGCTGAGGAGACTTGCAACTTATTCATTCCTCTTCCAGCCTTAAATCTAACAAATTCTGCTCCTAAGCCTTATGATACAAGGCAGTCTGAATGTGAATGAATTCCAGAGTGAGATGTTTTTTCTGCTTTCCAGATGGCGACCTCCTGTGCAGCTATCCTACTAGGCCAGTCAAAGAGGAGTTGCATGTCTCAAGCATAAGACAATAAAATAGAGAGCAGAAAGGCACCAGATAAGACCTCCCGCCCCCTGCGTGGCTCCCTGTGGCTGTGCTGTGGGGCACAGCCTGCCTCCTGCTGGCTTCACCTACAGCTCACTTGGGCCTGCAGGCCAGGTGCTGGGGGTCAGGGGCCAGAAAGGCCTTTACAATAATACTGATACCACAAAGACCATGGAATATTGTGCTGATCCCTAACAGAGAACTGCACCTCTGTGCATCTTCCCCTCTCTGCAGGCATGTAGGTTCCACAGAGGTTTGGGTTCTGGCTCATCAAACTGCAAGATGCAATCTGATGGTGATGCTTGCCCTCATTCCCTCCTACCACACTCCCTCCCAGGCTTCTGTGTGAGGCTGCCTGCGTTGGCCAAGCTGGAAGCTACCAAACATTGCCTGCTCAGCTACCACAGCGTAAACAGAAGAACAATGTGTGCTTGCAATCAGTAAATGTTAGTGATTACAGGGAGGCTCTGCCTTCCTGCCGGCCACCAAAGCTCACATGGCAGAAACCGGGGCCACGCTGCAGAACCACGACAGCTGCACAGGACAATCCTGCTGCCATTCTGCACCTGGCTCCCTGGATATCAATATATGCTCATGAAGCGCTTAGCACAAAGTAGCGAGAGTGGATCTTGCCAACTAAATACTACTGTGGCCCTAATGTTAAGTGGTTCTACTACCAAGTTCATTTTCCTGGTTCTTAATTACAGAGAAAGCTGGAAAGACGTGCACATCAAAGAAATCCTTTTCCCTAGCCAGATACGTCTGTTTTTTTTTCCTGCAATATTTTTAAATTCCACACCCTGTTCAGTTTGAAAACCTGCTCTAAGGTGCTGGGATTTAAATCACTACACACTTACCTGAAGCTTTTAAAAATACATGAAAGGTAACATGGACTGGTACAGAATTTCTTTCGTGTAATATTTTTCAGGTGCATAAGAGATGGAATTAAACATCCTCCTATTCTCCCAAGCTGTCCATCGCCAACCTGCAGGCCGGTTGTTTTTTTTTTTTTTTAACCAAATTTTAAAAATTCTCTGAGAAGAACATTCTGCATTTTGAAGCACACTCGGCACGAACTCTGAAAAACATTATTAGCAAAGAACTCATGTGCATCAGCTCTTTTCCTACACAACCTTCTGCAAAAACACTGCAAAGTGAATAGTTTTCATTTCTCAACAGTTCTTGAGAACCAAGTTTTAATCAGACCTAGCTCTTGAGAGCCAAAGCCTTCCTTGTGCATTGTGGAAGTTTATTTTAAGCAGAAGCCATATCAAAGCTCTGCATGAGCTGCAGACCCTCACCCAGCAGGAAATGACCTTCCTTCAGTTACACATAACCTGAAGCTTTAAATATATCTGTAGATATTTAAAGTTAATAACTGCTACAAATACATTATGAGAAGGAGTTGTGTACAATACAGAAATGCATAAAAATCATTCAGAAGAATGATTTTTACACCATAAAAACACCATAAATAAATACAATGCAGAGTTTGTACATCCTTCTGCTTTTAGTACAGCTGTGACAGTGAGGTGGGGTCTGTAATTTGGGCAAAAATTTCACAAAGATTTTCTTTGCTGGGGCTTTTGGCCCTACCTGAATGAACACACAGCCTTGAAGCCCTCCAGTAAAATCTACCCAAAGTCCAAAGCACATGAATACATAACAGCGTAGATGTACTCCCTGTACCTTTTCAAGACATTAAAGGAACTTTCTTAACTTGCTACATTTGACTTCAAAAATTTCATAATGCTGTTTGCTCCCCACTTTATTTCTTGATGCTATAATTAATGTGTTCTAATTAGTGCCCTGAAGAAACAACACTAAACTCTTAATGGAAGACTCTGTGATTTTAATGGAGGATTCCCCCCCCCCCCCCCCCCACAGAATTCAGATGGCCAGAGACAATTTTCAAATGCTTAAACAGAGGAGCAGTCATCATTATATTGTCCATTCCAGAAAGAGACAGTGTGAGCACAGGGGAAGATCCTGGTAATTTATTCAGAGGGAAGAAAGCTGGTTTAGGGTACTTCAGTGGACTCCTCCACCCAACACAAGCATCATCTTTGTTTGTTTTCACTCACAGCCTTCCCATTTCAGATGAATTAAAGGAAGAGGAGGAGGAAGACTTGCAGACCCTCTGCAAAGCCCACCCAAACGCTAGCAATGTTTTTCCCCATTTGTTTTCTGGGGAGGAGAAAAAAAAAAAAAAAAAAAGAAAGAAAAATACCAGAACCCTTCTCTCTATATTCTCTCCTCAGTTTTGTGGCCCTACAAGTTACTTATGAAGATTTTGCTCTTTCTTCATCCACACAGAGAGACAGGCATCCTAAGTCAGCATTGCGCTAAGTGTGGAGATGTGAGCATTGGCACTGTGAGTGATCTCCAGTGGGCTTTTATACTCAAATAGATTACTTCTGCTTAAGAATGTAAGCATCCATATGTTCCATAAACATGGGCAGTTTCACCAATTAAAAGCATGGGAGGGAGGAGGAACATAAATGTTTATCAGTGTGAAACCCAAGAACTCAGAGGTCACAACAGGAAAACAGCTTCAGTGGGGTTGCAACTGCCTTTAAACTTCTGAATTTCATCCCTGACTACGCCACCATTGGAGGGAGAAGCTCTGGCTTAACATTATATCCTAAACAAACTGAACATAGTACTTTAAGCTAGGTACTACATTGCTTTGAATTTGTCAACTTCTTGATTTGCACAGAACTAGACTACATACAAATGCATTTCTAATTAATTTGCCCATTCTCAGCACCCATATGATGTCCTTATTTGTTACCAGAACACTCTTAGAAGGCAAAATGTTACTCAAAGAGAAATGCGTAACAGGCTGGCTTAGTGGCTCCATCTTAGCAAATGCTGATTTTTCTTATGCTTTTAGTACTACACAGCACCATTCACTAGCCAGTTTTTAAATGCTGAGAGGTATTGTGTATCACAATAATAGTAGAAACTGGTACTTGGGAATGCAGCAAAAAGAACAGCAATCTAAAGATCAGGTTATTCCTAAATAATTTTACATTGTTCTTAGTTCGTAAGAATATATATTGTTATGTTCATCTTATCCCTACTCTCATTGCAACTGCAGTGTAAAAAAAAAAAAAAAAAAAAAACCAGAGCAAGTTTTTAGAGGACTGAAAGTACAGCCCATTTTCCTCCTCTTCACTTACACTTGTCTTTATTTTCTTTTCATCAGGGCTTTCTGATGAAGAAAATGATGAAAAAATTCCTTTTATTATTATTATTATTATTAACTTTGACATCATACACAGTACAGGATTAAATCTAAACTATTTGAACTGGAAGCAGCATCTCTAACTGAAGATAACAGTGAATCTGAATTATTTACTAACTGTTAAATTTCCCTCCACCTGCAGCAAAACTAAGCCATTTGCAGTGAAGATGTAACCCCCCATATTGGGCAAGGAAGAGCTTTGTCCCTTTCAGGCTATGGCAGACAAACAGTAGAGCTTGGAGCAAGCAGCTGTAACTAAGCACATCCAAGGGAAGATTTGTTAAGCTATTTTGCTCTTTTAAGAGTGAGAACCACATTTTTCTGTTACACGATGCACACACATTTTCTTTACTAATAGTTATCAAGTCATTCAGCATCCCACATGCAAGCCTCATAGCTATTGCTATCAGCACTTTACACCTAGTAGACAGACAGTTCAGCCTTTGTATTTTGCTTAAGCCAGGGATCTCAAGTGTGCTGCTGTATTAAATCAATTTTTTGGTTCTTGTAGAGTAAGAGTTATGTTAGGTTTTCCAGTACTGGCAAAGAAAGCTGAAATAAAACCACCTTAATCCAATACAGATTTAAAACAGGATCAGTGCAAATTTACTGCTTGCAACACAGGAAATATAAATGAAGTATGTCAGTGTTCAAGATGAACTAAGAAGACATTCCAGTACACGTAATGTACATAATATTATATTTGTCCACCTACAAGTGATTACAACTGTTAAAGATTTTGGCAGTAGAGCATTAAAAAAATAATAAAATGTATATATATATACACACACACACACATAAATTTTGGTTTTTTTTATATAAACACATATTATTTAAAAAAAATTATATATATATATGCGCACACACCCACCCCTCCCCCCATAGTGACCTTCAGAAAACCTTCAGTTTCTGTTAAAGCTTCTGCAGGTAGGAAGCCCTCTACCCATGGGTCTGGCCTCCAAGGAACAGGTGACTCTGATTTACTGCCATGTGCCAGTGGAGTCTAAATAATAACGTAGTCCAAAAAATGCAGGATTTTGCCCATGTTCTTGTTTTTTCAATATGCTAAAGAGAATGTTCTGCTAAAGTTCATCTTCCAGCACTTCCATTTTTTCTGACTGTTTCAGAGAAGTGCTGAGGTTAACTCTTGAGTAGTCAAGACAATTGCACTGGGCTGTGAAACAACATACCTTCTGTGCTGCGCCCTTGTAGCCAGCTCATAATGAATGGAACACAGCACATACAGAGAACAAGATACGATTTAGCATGTTAAGTTTACTCTATTTCTTAGAAAACCTTTAAAGGAGCAGATTCTGACTCTGAGATCACTTTGCCTTCAGTGTCCTACCACTAACATGACTACACAGCTAATGTTTTCATAATGTATTATTCTCTTTACTACATTATTTTCTTGTTTAGGTTTTATTTGTCTTATTGGTCACATATTATTTTTTAAAATACCTTTCTTCTTCTCACAGCCAAAATATCAGTAAGAGTCTTTAGGAAAAACAGCTTTTCAGCAATAATTTGGCTGCTCTGTCTTGAGCTGATGGACACAGAATCTTCCTTTTACAGTCCCCACAAGCAGCAGAGAGGTCTGAATGGATTTCATTACAACATGGTATAAAACACAGGCACTACAGTCGTAATCATGCACTCTCACAGCAATTATCTGCCTCAACGAGCAGAGGATCGTGCCTTAATGAGTCACTGTGAGTATAAACCACATAACTAACCATTCATTAAACCAGCATGAGAAAAGCAGCACAGTAAAAACCAATGTCCATACCGAAACAATTGGTGACAACTCCACACAAGGCTCAGCTGAGATATGCATCAAGCCACCAACAGCTCACAGAGGCCTTTGAGGACATCAGCTAGAGACTGGAACAGGGATTACCACATAACAACTCCTCCTTGCATTAGCACCATACTTTAAAAACCCGCCTACAGACATTAAATGAGGCTCACCTGCTTCATCTAAACACCTGAAGAAGAAAAGATGTGATATCTAAAGGACCAGCATCTGTTACTGTGCTTCAACTGCAACTTCTGGTCATCTGCAGGAATTAACTCCCATCAACAGGAAAACACATCCGCATGTGAGGGAATGTGTGGGTTGGTGCAGATTTGTATTTCATGGCTGAGCTCTTGTGGATTTTTTTTTATGTCAAAAAGCTGCAGCCTTACCCTGATGGAATGACGCCTGGGATTTCCGTGCCTTCCTAAGCTGCTTTCACAAGGCTTCTGGGACACTATCATAAATGTGGCTGTACCTGAGCAGCGAGGCTAGCATTAACATGGAGGAAACAACAAAGACATCCCTAAAGAAGCAGAGGGATGGCATGCTCATTCAAGTCTTTGCTTTAGGTCAAAAGTGACATCTAACACGTGAAAGATCCAGAATTCTATACCCTGGTCAAGTGCAAAGTTTGGGCAGCATCAGTGCTAACACAGGAGAGTAACTGTGTGGAAATGTCTTCCCTTAGAAAGTGGTACAATCTTAGCTGTAGCTTTAGCTGACAAAAAGAAATTAATAATAAAAAAATAAAAATATTTAAAAAAAAGGAGATACTGAAACTATTAAAAGCCATTTCAACTAGTTGTGAGGGTTAATTTATTCTTCAGTGATGAACTGAGCTGGATGGCACCATAAACTGATTAGGAACTTTTGTAGGGCTCTTTTTCCTCTCCTCTCTTCTTTTTTTTTTTTTTTCCCCTCTAAAACAAACAAACAAAAAAAGCAAACTGCTAACATAGTTTTATTTACATGTTCAGTTTTCTCAGCTGATGGGCCCCTGTCCCTTGAGAAGTGAGACACAGGTGATTTCCTCCCAGAAAGGGAACTTGTGTAATCTTAAGCAGCGTTCCCTCAAGAGACTCCAGGGAATGGCAGACAGTTTATACCTGCACATACCTGGTTAACTCAAATAAGATCGTCTCATTTTTGTGTGCTGGCTTGGCCAAAGATCAAGGTCATTCTTCAAATCCCCCCTCCTTTTTTTTCTTTAAGCTCCTGTGAGAAGTGTTTAATAATTCTTGTACTTGTGTTGAGATGGAAGTGTGATAGCATGAGAACATGCCAGCTCTGTCACAATCTAGACATGTAGGTACACATGATTTGATCACACCCTGTCATCTGACAAGCCTTCAGGTAACACAGATCTGTATCTCTTGGACAAGTTTTAATAACTGAGGAAATAAAGCTGTGAAGTACCCACCCATTTCTTTGTAAGATTAAGCCCCAAATCTCTCTGAATGTGTTTCTTTGCTGGAAGAATGTTTAGGATATATTTTAAATATTTCTGCCTTTATAGATATTTAGTTCAGCTATTTTAACTGTGAAGGTGCTTCTCAAGGGACCAAGAATAATAATGTAAATTCTACAAAGTTAATTTAAGATCCAGTGATGATCAGCCAGCTTCAAGCAAGTCTTCAGTATTTCAGAGGAACTCCAAATGTAAATGGTGAAGTCAGCTGAGGCTGTGACACAGATCACTACTTCAATCACTTCAGCCTTCATTTCTAACTTCTACTGCTTTTCCTTGGCCTCTTTATTCCTCTCCTTACTCTTTTTTACAACACTATTCTTCCTAGCTCTTGCTTACATGGCTTCCTCCCCTTCTCTTTTCTTGCTAATGAGTCGGCTGCAGCCACAGCATAAATGGATCCAAAAGTTTTCTGTGTCAGCCCTTCTGGAATGTTTAATCTAATGCCCAAGAGCTGAGGAGGGAGAATGTGAAGGACCAGATCCTCAATGGCACAGCCACCATTTAGCTGTCAACCACCAGCCCTGGTGGTTTTGGATTCCTCTAACCACACACCCAACCCTCAGTGCCCCTGAAGTCTATTTACAACGTGTTCAGTAATTTTCACCAGCTGGCTCTTATTGAGAGTGTCACTCAGTATTTATGTAACATTTTCATGTATCAAATAACACGGCAAAAAATCTCTGTCTTAACCAACTTCATTATTTTTAGGCTGATAAATTTTTGGTTTTAATTACTAGGCATTTGTTGTCAGCAGTTTTCCCCCTGAAGGTTCTAAAAAACCCCATTGGGAAGCAGTGCTCAAACCTCCTTTCTCCCCATCAGGCTTTGGATCAGGCCAACCATGCTGAAACATGGTCTTTGAAGGTCACTTTTCACTTCAAGAATCAACAACCTGGAAACAATGGAGTGCAATTAAAGCTAATGTTCCACATGGTTAAAAAAAAAATTGTGAATGACTTCGTAACCTGGCATTTCATTTGGGAATGGAGTTGATTTAATAACAACAAGAAAGCAACAATCACATGAGGACGCTGCAATCATATGATTTTTTTGCATAGTCAGACACAGCTCTAACTTTGATTTATGCTTCTCTCCTTTCTGCCAGATAATGAGGGCTTAGTCCCAGCAAGCCTGGCATCCCTAAGGCTACTGCCTTCACCCCTTTCCCTGGCTGACGGGAGGCTGCTGAAGCATGGAGCCTACATATGCAGGATGCACTATGCTGTTCACACAGCCTGGGATCCTTCTCTTGGTGCTACTGGGAAGGCAGGAAAAAAGGATATCCAGCTCTCTTCTCCCTTTGTGCAGCTTCATAAACATAGGCCATGACTTAATGCTTCTGAAAGCCCCCCGAACATGGTGTGTTAGAGGACAGAGGGGTGCAGAGAAAATGTGAGAAAAAACGGAAGATACCAAGAACAAATTAAAAATAAAAATAATAAATTATCATAGTTGTAAATTTCCCTCTCATTGAGCAATCTCTTCATTTTGTTTACAGTACCTTGGCTTACAGACTTCCATCTGCTCTGCCCAAATAAAATATAGTTTAGTGTTGCCCAACTTGTTGATTTCTCATTAACTGGTGCCTCCCTTGCCAGTGCTCTACTTTGGGATCACTGAGTCCACTCTTGAGGCCCATACTTGATTCCATGCCATAGCTCACCAAAGCTGCTGCTTTGCTGAAAACAAAAGAAACATCACCAGGCTGACAGAACTGCAAAATAGTTATTGCACTGCCTGCAGAAGACCACCTGTGTCTGGTGAAGCAAGCTGAAGCTGAATGTGAACCAGAAAGTGCAGTGTTTGCCAATGTTGCCCTTCTTCTCTTCAGGCACTGATTACATTTCATTATTAGGTTGGGCAGTAAAATCTATTTTTGCTTCATCCCTATTCATCACACACTACAGTGAAGTACTTGTTAGTGTGTAGATCAACTTGTGACCTAGATATTGACTGTCTATCACAACATAGTCTGTGATCATACCCCTAAGTGTCGTATCACACAACTGTGATAGTAAGGTACGTGTATGTACCCACTAAGTGAACATTTAAATAATGTTTGCCTTCAGGATCAACTCTGATCAAGAGCCAAGTCCAGGGAAGTGCTAGAATCAGCCAGTTTTCATTTAGTTTATGGTTGCTGCTCAGCGTGTGGGAAGAGAAACATGTTAAAAGTAGAGACCAGTTCATCAAATGCAATGAGCTGTTGCAGTAACACTAGCAAATCAGGCTAGGGTGAGAGTTAATTTGGATTTTTGGAAGTAAATAATCCTAATTTAAAAACAAATTAGGTATAAATATTGATCAGAGTGCAAAACCAATATGAAAATGCCTGCAAGGTAAATGGTGTGGCTCTAAACAGGTCTCACAGAAATCCCAGCGAATGCTGAAAGCAAAGGGAGTGAGTCATAAGCACATGAGCTGAAAGAAGCTGAAGACAAAATCATGCATCTCTGCTTAATTCCATCACATGATGAGTCCTGGGGCCCTTCATTTAATCGGAGGGCCGAGCAGTGGAGAAACTTCATTCTCACTTCTCAGTGGAGGCTGAAGGAGTTACTGCTCCGCCGTGCGCGCCGGCCAACGCACAGCCTGGCACCATGTGCGGGGCTCACCGCCACCTCGCGCTCCTGCTCCTGGCCGAAGCGGTCCTGTGTGCTGCTGCCATGCGTGAGTGCCTGCCTCCCTCACCCCTTCCTCCCTCCTGTCCTGCGATGGTGCTTAAAACCTATTTGCTCCCTGATGTGTAGTGATTGCTGAAGCTATACTGAGCTGCAGAAAAATGCCAAGAGCTGTTTGCTGCTCTCCACGGGTAAACAGCTGAGCCTTGGTTCATCTTCTCAAATTTCAAACAATATTTATTTGGCTCAACTACAGCCAGAAAGGCAGAGGCAGGATGGATTTCTTGTAGTTTGCTTGGCTGGGAGAGGCTGCCAGAGCTCCAGGACAGTAGGAGTCCAGGAATTAGACCCTCCAGCTGTGGTGGTCATGCTTGGTCCTTGGCTTCTTCCCAGACTCCCAGCTTGATTTCCAGTCTTACTGACTCACTGAGCTCAGTGCTGGTAACCCAAAATGGGAACTGGGGGTCAATTTCCAGAGTCTGCAAGAAGGAAACTGAAGGCCTTAGCAACTGAGGTCAGGCTGAGCATATCTCTAGCCTTATACCTGTATTTAATGGGTACTTTCCCAGAATCTGATGGTGTATAGCATCAGAACTTCCTCAGCCAGATGTAAAGCCATTGCATTTAACAGGATTTCTCCCCCATCAGTTTGTGCACTCTAGTTTTGGTGGTAGCCCATGTATATTTTGAACCAGCAAGAAATGTCACAGCCAAACTGTGCCTAACTTGAAGAAATAAGTGTATTTTTTGTGCTTAGAACCTATCAACTGCTAGGTTCATTTACTCTCCTTAGCTCCTGGACTTTCAGAAACAGTGAAAAAATGCTTCTTCCTCCATGCTGTTCACGATTCGGTTTTAACAGAATCACCTGTCACCCACTCTCTAGGCTATCTGCTTGTTCCTCATCTGGAAACAATTTCATCCTTTTGGCACCTTTCTCTGTATTTTTCACTTCTCTGATGCCCTGCTCATGCTGTAAAGATCAGAGCAGCATGCAGTATTCAAGACATGAACTAGCACGTGGAGAATTGCACAGCGCTCTAACAATGTTTTCATCTTTGCTCTTTAACCTTTACCTATTTTTTCAACTATTCCCGAGCACCGTATTCAAAACTGTAAAGATACAAGATCTCATTTTCAAGTGGCAATAGTAGATTGGAAGCTCTCGTGCTGTACAAACAGTTCTGTATCAACCCAGTCAGCCTTGTTCACCTGCTCTCCAGCTCCTTTGGCAAAACTTGAATGTATTTGCGAGGAATGCGCTCCTTTATGGCACATCATATTAATTTGCTGTTTCTGACAACTCTGTTCTTCACTGCTGTTTCTACCAGCTTGTCCAATTTGAGCATCACGCCTTTTATAATCCTCTAAATCTTCCCTGGAAATGTTTTAAGAACTGTCAGCACAGTTGCCAACTTTTGTTTCATGACCACTGAAGCAGCTTGGAGCAAGACGTTACACATTATGGTGAACAGTTCATTTATTTCGCTCTTGAACAGCTTCCACACCTTTTGAGCCACCTGATCCAGACGGCTTTTTGATTTGATTTGCTCTATCTTTTTTCTTCACTTTGAGAGAGATTCTCCATCGCTGTGAAGAAAATTCTGGCACAGAAATCTCTTAGGCTCTTCCGTTGAGCATGAAAATGTCAGCGAGTACATTTTTATTTTTGTGCCACCACTTTATCTTCCCTAAATGTTGCTTTTGTATCTATACCCTCTATTCCCCCTACCGACTTTCTGGCAGGCTTTCTAATACTTCTGTATTTAAAAAATTTAATTAGTAAGTTTCACATCTTTGTAAGTTGTTTCTCAAGTTCTCTTTTGTCCCACTTTATTATGTTTCCACATGCAATGTTAGAAAGTTTACGTCATTTTCTTCTCTTCTTAGCTTGGCCATAACATCAGCCTTCTTACATTCTGCTCTTTAACTATGCCATCTTTTTATTGCTGTTCTAACGCTGACTTTCTCCCTTTCGTGGCTAACACACCAGCACAGGAAATGCTGAACTTGTCTTCTTTGTGTTTTTCACCAAAATGAGAACCAGAATGAGAAAGAAGAACGTCCATCAGAGTGTGATCTCTTATGATCACCTCACCAAAACTATTACAGTAATCATTTCCTTAGATTGTATTATTACCCCATCTATTTTGAATTAAACTGCTCTAATTTCATGTTACGACCAACATCTGTGCTTGAGTGTTTTTCATTGTTACAGAAGAAATACATTAAAGCTTCCCATTCCTTTAATTCAGCAGTGGAAAATCTTCAGTTCCAAGTGTTAGCTGAACTAGTGGTGAAGTATTTTGTCATCTTAAAAATGTCTTTGTCTTGTCCTGAAGCTCTTGTGAAATGTTTTATATTTGATTGAAATAAACAAAGCACAATGGGGAGGCACAGAAATGCCTCAGGAGCTCGTGATCTAGAAGCAGTGACCACAGCTATTACTAAAGCTGGACAGGAAAAATGACTTCTGAATTCAAAGATGGCTATTCAAAATGAAAAGCATTTATAAAGTTAGAACTCTTCCAGCTCATTTTGATGAACTGAATATTTGGGGAAAAAATGACTGAAATGTTTTGATTGGGCAAAATCAAAACATTTTTATTCATCACACAATTTTTAGATAAAGTCAAAGAGAATGGGAAAAAAAGGATAAAATTCATAACCACTTACTTTCAAATAAGATGACATTAATTTCTTGACATAACATGTGATTAAGCACAAAAAGCTTTTGTGAAATATTTTTATGGTTTTTATAGCTTCTAATCTGCTTTTCTTTTCCTGGGGGACAACATTACCCAACTCTGACAAAGAGTCAACATAATACAGCACGTGATACAAGCCAAGAGGAAATACAGGTCATGATGTTCTGCTCTGCTCACATCAAAATATCTTGAATCTTCAGGGAAGTCTTGATTCAAGATATTTAAGTGAGATTGCAAGGAGTTCCTGTAGGGCAAAAATGTACAGGAGAATATGTCTCATAACATCTGCAGACTCTTCCTTGTACCTTTTAGTCCTTAAGCCTCAGGAGACCAGGGAGAAATCTGCTTGCTTTGAGGTGACCACTGAGATGGGACTGGCCAAGGGATGCCCTCCCAGACCAGCAGCCATCTCACTGGATGATAAAACATCAAGAGAGAAGCAGCTCCTGCCTGCTCTGTGGTGCTGTCCTTCTGGCTCTTCCCTGCAGTAAAATCAGGAGTCACAAGACCAGGCTGAAATTGTCTACACCTGCTCTGCAACTTTTCCAAAACCGGGACAAACT